TTTCCAAGCTCAGCCATCGCTAGTATCTGGACAGTGGATGGTCCTGCTCCCCATGGTGGCCTATGACATTAATAGTTTGCAGTATCAGCCTTTCCAATGGCTTTGACTGATCTGAGTTCCTAAGCCCAGGGGTTTATGGGAGTGCTCACTCAGTGAGGGACTGCCATAAGAACTGTCCCACCTAATAACCTCTTTTCACATTTAGGAAAACTGAGGCCTGGGACAGTAAGAAACAAGAAGAAATGCAAGCTTCTCATGAACCTCACAGTGAAACCATCTCTAAGTTGGTTTCAGCATGTCGTCTTTCCAAGTCTCTGACCCTCAACTATGTATGTCTTCACCAAATTGCTAATGTGCAGGGCCTTCCCTGGCTTGTACCCAGTCCCCTGGCTTCTACTGCAGTGTCCTGCTTAGACAGGGTCTGTCTTCTCTCTCTTGAGAAGCAGACCTTCCTCCTGACAGTCAACCCAGGCCTTAAGGCAGCTCTCCCTCCTCACAAACACCTGCTTCTTACAGAACTATTCATAAATCACTTCAAACTAGCCTTGGTGCCTCGGGCCCTGGCACGTCCACGGTGCCTAATTCTAACACAGGCTTTATGTCAACACAGGCTTCCCAGGGACTCAGCAGGGTCAGCAAAGACTTTGGATGAGAGGAACCTGAGTTTCAAGCCTCCATTGGCCACCAGGTAGCTGTGTGACCTTAGGAAAGTTGCTCAACCTTCCAAGGCCTGAATGGCCACAACTGAAAAGCAGGTATTAGATGAGTGAGCACATACGGCTTATCAAATGCCTGAGATGCAAAGGGCATGGAGCAAGGAGAGAATTGCCGGTGAGGAAATGCAAGCTCATTGTTAGACGGCCGGTCTGAAAATCCTCCTGGGCCCCCACCCTGCACTGACACACAGCTTCGCCTTCCTCCCTCTCTGGCCCCTGCATAGCACACATAGCAACCGAGCAGGTGGCAGGTGGCTCCTATATCACTTCCTCTACTCTATTTGAGGACACAACCCTTGGCCACCTCTCCGAACACAGCTCCTGGTGCAGAGAAGCCTGAGGAGCTGTTTGGGGGAGCCTTTGTCTGTGGGTGCAGGTGATAAGACAAGGCACACAGAAGCAGCATTCAAGGAGCTACCCCAGCTCCCAATCTTAGGAGCAAAGCTGTCCTGCTGGACCTCTTTCCTCCCATTGCCCTTGCAGGTGACCACCACAGAGATACACTTCCAAGAGACCAGAGACTATCCAGAGCCATGTATCAGGCAAAATCAGTGAAGGAGAACCAGCTCCATGTACAAGGTCAGCAAATGCTGATGTTTGACGCACACAGAGGGTCTTGCAGAAGGTCCAGTGCCTGGTTCTTCTCCAAGGTTCCAGGTCACCATGTCCAGCCATACTCTTCATTACACAGGTTGGGAAATTGAGGCCCAGAGAAGGAAAAAGACCAGCTTCAGTCCTCTGGGAGATTTGGCAGACATATCTCATGCCTGCTCTGGGAAGGCCAACCTGAGCTGAAGACATGCCCAAGGCCATAACCTCTCTCTGTAGGGATGGGAGGGGGATCATCTGCTGCCTGCTTCCTCGGGTTGGCTGCAACCCAAGCCTGACCTCAGCCCAGGACAGACAGAAAGTGTACCTCTTCTGCTCAGAAACTATTTAAGGGCTCATAGGACATGAGCCATCTCAGGGTACAGGCATCCCCAGGGGCAAGGCAGGAGACAAGTTCCAAGAACATCTTGACAGCCCCACTGAGGATCCCAGGAAAGCAGAATAGGTACTCCAAACCAGCATGGTGGCTCACTCCTATAAACCCAGTCGTCAGGAAGATCAGGAGTTCTAGGTCATCTCTCTCCTCTTCTCCCTGTCCCGTCCCACACACACACACACACACACACACACACACACACACACACACACACACACACATGCATACACAATATTTTCAAGTTTATCTTATTACTTATTTGTGTGTCTATGTGAGCGAGGTTGTCCTCGGTGCACCAATGGAATTCAGAGGACAACCTATGGAGGTTAGCTCTCTCCTACCATGCGGATCCTGAAACTCAAACTTAGGTCATCGGTCTTGGCCACAAGCCGCTTTTCCTCGCTGAGCCGCACCACCTGTCGGAAAGGCAGCTTCTCCTCCTCCCTAGACTCAAGGTCCAGCTGCAGGAGAAAGCTAGCAGATGGCACCCTCTGTCTGAACCCTCTCTTGCCTTAATACTGCAGCTTCTGCAGAGGTGGTTGTTGTTTGTTTGTTTGTTTGTTTGTTTGTTTTGCAAACTGAAGACAGAAAGATACGGGTGCTGTGGGATGTTCTGTATGTCCTGTGGGAGCCTGTTCTTGGGTTCCTCATGGCTTTACCCAGCAGGTCCGCATAGAGGATGATTAGGACCACAGGCCTGAGTGCAGGTGTCTGCACTTGGCTGTGCTGGGGGATGGTCTGTATGTCAAGTTGCTCTGATTGGTCAATAAATAAAACCTGATTGGCCATGGCGAGGCAGGAAGTATAGGTGGGACTCTATAGAAAACTCTAGCTACATACGGGCTTGGTTCAGAAGGTCTGAGGCCTCTCCTTGGGGGCCCGAAGGCCTGTGAGCAGAGCAGGAACAGGGCTAAGCTTCTGCCACATGGGCCAAAGGAGGCTTGGTACAGAACCTGGCTGTTCTCAGGATGGGGAAAGGCATGGATTGCAGTGAATGTATTAAGCATCCTTCCATGTGAGCATAAGCCACGGCATAAGAGACAAAGGCCTTGCACCAGGACAATGTTTTGTTTTGTTTTGTTTTGTTTTGTTTTGTTTTGTTTTGTTTTGTTTTGTTTTGTTTTGTTTTGTTATCTTTTTGGTTTTTCGAAACAGGGTTTCTCTGTGTAGCTTTGCGCCTTTCCTGGAACTTGCTTTGGAGACCAAGCTGGCCTCGAACTCACAGAGATCTGCCTGGCTCTGCCTCCTGAGTGCTGGGATTAAAGGCATGCTCCTCCACCGCCCAGCTGCACCAGGACAATCTTGCCGACTGTATTTCTTTATGACATTTGAACAGGCTGCCTGGAGGTCCCAGTGAGCACGTGTCTTTAAAAGGTTGTGTCTCAGTGTCTGCTACCTCCTGTCATTGGGGGGAAAGTGAGGATCTAGGATCAGAGGGACTTATCAGGACCCAGTATTCCCATTTCTGGCTTGAGACCTCATTCAAATTAACCTCACATTTCTGGGCCTTCATTTCCTTTTCTGTAACTGGCCCTGGAGGCTGACAGCCCTTCACAGTGCTGTTGGGACACTTAATGAGATCGTATCATAGGAAGCCCTGCCCGTGGCCAGCACAGTGTAGACACTCCTTAAATCCCATTTCCTGCCTTCAGTCTAAGGAAGTCTGGCCTCCCTGTGCTGTCTGGAGACACACTGTCCCTTCAGTCTCCTCAGAAGAGCAAGCACTATCTCGGTCAAGAGTCTGTGGAGAAGGGGCTTTGCCCATGCACACAATGCCAACACTCTCCAGGGGTTTGGTGCTTCCCTTAAAGACCAGATAGAGCTTCCCCCAGCCTTCTCCTCCCAGCAGGACTAAAGGCTTCTCCCTCCCATCCCCAGCCCTCACCCAGACCTGACACAGCCCAACTGAGCCACCCGGCTCTCTCCACTCCCTCTTCCCACACTCTGTGCAAGGCAATGGGATCTGGGCTCCGAGGACATAGCCCCAGATCAGAGGCAATCAGCAGGGGGTGTGTGTGTGTGTGTGTGTGTGTGTGTGTGTGTGTGTGTGTGTGTGTGTGTGT